TAGCGCTGCCATAGCTGTAGCATAGTGTGTGTGTGTGTTGTGTATGATACTGAGTGTTGCGTGTGGGACATCCAGGGTGATCCAGAGTGCGAACAGTGAGTTGTGTGGGCGCCCCGTCGCCATAGCCAGTTGAAGAGAACTCATACCTGGTTACGATATCTTGAGTACTGTGTGGGCGCATGTCGCCAGTTGCTGTACCGCTGTTTGCAGGCATGACAAAGTGGGAAGAAGACGAGTTTGATTGCAGAGGGATGCTGTCTCATGCTTCTCTCCTATTGCTGAGGGATGCTAGAGTGACTGGCATTGATTGCTTCCCAGGAAGGATTTACCCCTGCTGCACCCCTGTTCCTCGTTGCCCGTTACTGTCATCAGAGCATGGGAAAACAACATCTCATCTGTGCCTGGCCTCCTGATTTCATCGTTACCTCCTGAACCAGTTAAATCACCAGTTCAACCGAAGCTAGGTCACCGTCTGAATCAGGCCTGGGCGCAGGCACTTCGGCCCAACCTGAAGCTACTGGCCACACGAGCAGCCCAGCCCAGGCAGCCTTCGGGCCTGGTCACTTTCCAAATAGGAAAGTGCCTGTCAACGTGAGAGGCATTCGGGCACTTGATTCACATGCCGCAGTGCTGTCAGTACGAGGGCTTGAGCCCGCTGGTTGTGAGAGCCGGGCGCATGCGGGCGCTGGACATATGCTAAGCCAGCCATAGCCGGGCTTGAGCACGAGGAAGTCAGTGGGGCCTCGTGAGGTCCTACAGTGGAGGAGGGACGTGGATTGGTAGATGCGGGTGACCAGCGAGAGAGAGTGGGAGAGGGATGTGAGAGCACATACCTGGTTGTCGTGGAGGTCTGCATGGGCGACATCTGGTATCAGAGCTGGTTTGAATCCGCTCTGCTGGCAGCAGCGCATTGGTTTGTTGCTGCTGCCCCGCATGCGTGCACGACAATGATTATTGCTATGGCGCTGTTTTGGCAGGTAGCCCAGTGTCGTCTGGGCATGCCAGGAAGGGTATGTGGTGACATTGGGGTGTACGCTGGATGATGAGAGCTTGCTGTCGTGGGATTTATGCTGAGGTGGAACTACATTGCATTGTGTCGTGCTGAGTCATCGATCGGTCATCATAAATGCACGTCAGGTCAACTGGTGAGAAATCTGTGGTTGGGGGCAGCACTTCGAGGTACGTTGCTCCTTACCTTATCTACTGTTACATCTTTGACGCCATACGGGTCCTACCAGACCCGACTTAGGGCCAGAGGGACACAGTAGGGCCTAAAGGCCCGGACTTGGGGTACAGCAGGCCGTAAAGGCCACAGTTTTGGACCAGACCCGACGCGCAGGCCCAAACGACATTACCGTTTGGGCCTGGCGATGCTTTTGAGGCTGCCGCCCGCCGGTCTGATCTGAACCGTCGATCTTGACGGTTCAGGTCACGGCCAGGCCTCGCAGCATTGAGGCTGGCCTCGTTTTCACCGGTACTTATACCGGTCCAGCCTCATTCTGAGGCATCGAGCCACTGGCATGCTGCATCAGCGCCAGTGCGTATCGGTTGAGGCAGAGCGCTATTCTTAGCGCAGGAGCGGAGCAGCTGCAGCAGCAGCGGCGAGCAAGGAGCTAGGCAGCAGCCCTCAGCAGTACAGCGACCATAGCCGCGACCTGCAGTTGGACTGCAGCACCACCAGGTACCAGGAGGCGAGGGAGTCTTCTCCTCCCTCCACGGCCCCCGGCTCTCTCCTCCTCACCTCCTCCTCCTCTGCCATCCCTTCTCCTTCTTCTTCAGACTTCTTCTTCTTCTTC